AGTTAAACGGTATTTCCCGGTACTGGCAGGACTCTGGGTAACGCGGCCATGAATTTCTGTGACCATCACACTCTGCGTGCACGAGTGAGATATTTCCTGCGTAGACCAGCAGCGTAGCAAGATCATGTTGCCAGGTCTTAAGCCTCAAATGTTTTGAGTGTACATCCGATACAATCATAAATGTAAGCCTGTTAATATCATTCAGAAAATGAATGTGTGTGAATGCGCTTCAGTGTTTGTAACATAACAGACTGTCAGTTTACTGAGATGGGGTTCAACTCCCTGCAGTGTCCTGCTGATTGTATTTGGACTAACATGAAAGTTAACAAAACAGTAGTGCCATTTGCTGTTACTTGAACACTTTAATTTAACACTGTTTTTATTTTAAGTTCTTCTGTAACTTTAGACTCTAGTGTGAAGCATTCATTGTAACGTTTAACCTGATTGTCATGAAGAAGCTCTGGACAGATCATTTATACTAATGCCCACTGACATGGTTTGAAAATCCACTGTTATCTAACTTTTGCTCTCCAAGCGTCTTAGTTTGCACATTTAGATCAGAGAATTCTTTTTCTCATGGTGTGCCCACAAACCCTTTCAATAAGTTCAGTGTTTGGGCCGCTGTAATTATAGAATCCTGCTTACGTCCGTGCTTATCAGTAGGTGGCGCTATGACTATGAGTTAATATTGGCATGCAGAAGTCCTAAAGCCATGACAGTCAACAAGCATGTCAAGTTTGGGACAGTTTTGACAAAGTACAGACGAGTTACAGCAGCTTGATGGATGATGGTGAACCATGTAAAATGGCCATCACACCATATCCACGTCGTTCTTTGAAACCTAAAGCTTTTAGTAACTTTTAATCGCTAAGATCTTTAGATTGTTCTGACCAAATTCTAAACTGATCGGATTAATTCCCTAGGAGGAGTTCGTAGTACAGCACCTGGAAATGGAAAAAAAACGCGAGAAATTCACACAAAATTCAAAATGGCTGACTTCCGGTTGGGTTTAGAGCATGGACCCCAAGAGACTTTTTTTTTAAGTCTACATGTGAAACACCTGCTTACCAAATTTTATACATCTAGGTGAAACGTACTGCGAGGGCTGCATCGTTGAAATATTGTTGACACGGCAACGGGCTTTCACGAAACAACAAGCTTTGTGTAACTTTTCATCACAAAGGTCTTTAGATTGTTCTGACCAAATTCTAAGTTGATCTGATTAATTCCCTAGGAGTTCGTTAAAGTAGAGCGCCTGGAAATTGTAAAAGCGACACTAGAAATTCATAACAAATTCAAAATGGCTGACTTCCGGTTGGGTTTAGAGCATGGTCCCAAGAGACTTTATTTTAAGTCCACATGTGATACATATGCATACCAAATTTCATAAATCTATGTGACAGTACAGCGAGGGCTGCTTTGTTGAAATTTTGTAGGGGGCGCTATTGAGCCGATTTGCCACTCTGAACCAATAAAATCATATTATATAACTACATTTTGGCCTTTAAATCTGTTTTCCAAGTTTGCTTATGTTTCGAGCATTTTTAGCCTCTCAAAATTACCTTCGTTGTTAACGGCGAAGACTGCATCGCCACCGCAACGGTGTTCGACGAAACACCAAAAGCTTCATGAAATGGCATTATGAACTTCTTATATTTGTGTGGAACTAATTTGATATTGATTTGATTTACCTACTAAGAGAAACAAGCCAAAGTATAAAGACTTTAACTTCCTGTTACCAGTAGGTGGCGCTATGACTATGATTCAAAATTGGCCTGCAAATGTCTTCAGGCCTGGAGTCTAATCAAACGTGCAATCTGGTAAAGATCTGATGATGTGGAGTTGAGTTACATCAGTTTATTCGTTCATGACGAAGGATCGAAATTCAACTACAACTTCTTACAATCTTCACAATGAAGCATTATCAAGGTCTTAAGGCTTTTCTGACAACATTTGAGAGGGATCTGATTAATTTGTGAGGAGCTGGATGTCAAAGTACACAACTTACAACTTCCGGTTGCCACTAGGTGGCGCTATTACTATGATTCGAAATTGTCATATAGATGTGTTCCGGTTCAGGATGTTATGACATATGAGAGATTTGGAGCAGATTAGACAATGTATGGTCGAGTTACAACAACTTCCTGTTTCGCGGCGAATGGTGTTTATTTGACGCCCCGCCACGGATACATAGTTCGATAACTTTTTGATCTTTGAGTAACTTTTCACTGCCAAGGTCTCAAGAACATACTGACCGAATCTGAAGTCAATCGGGTAAAAGATCTAGGAGGAGTTCGTTGAAGTATGACGCCTTGAAACGGTCCAAAAACGTCATAAAATTCAAAATGGCCCACTTCCTGTTTGGTTTAGAGAAAAATTCCAAGAGGATTTTTTGTACGTCCCATCACGATCCACATACCTACCAAATTTCATACAGCTAGGTGAAACCCAATGTTGGGGCTACTCAATAGGGGGCGCTATCGAGCCAATATTTCATACCGCAGCTGGACACCCCAATCAGACTGCAATTTTCGCAAATTCTGGCTTGCGTGCCAAATTTCAGACGTTTTCCAGTATCCCAAGCACCTCCTTTTTGCGATGAAAGTGGTAAAATAATAATAATAAACATACGAAAAACAATAGGTCCTCCGCTCCGACTACGTCAGTGCTCGGGCCCTAATGAGATTTAAAAGAGGACACAGAGCTCCGTATCTATACAGAAAAGACAGGGTCACCTGCAGAGAGTCTGTCAAACAACCAGGAGACTCCTACATGAGGAGCTCAAGTTGTAGAATCAGAATCAATGCACTCGAACATATTCCCAGTTTACTTTTGACTAACAAAGGCACGCAGCAAGAGACGGACAAGAGAGAATGAACAAACGAGAAAGGGAAAGAAAAAAGAGAAAAGTAAGTTTTCAGTTCCAGACAGAAAGGATGTAAGACCATAGCCCAGAGTGAGACAGAGAAGCCATCCTAGTCCAGCTCCAGCTACCTGGAGGCCATGCCTGGCCTGCTAAATGAGATTATGTTAGATAATTCACGGCTTTCAGAGATGAGCTGTGATTGCACTGGAAGCCTTTTTTAATTAAAGACAAGAGGAGTGAGGCATGAAGCGGGCTGCTCGGTCTAACCCGTCCCTCTCTGAAGAAAAAGCTGGAGTGTCGAAGGAAAACGATAAAGAGCAGAACTTGGTTTGGGAGTCAATATGATGATTTTATTTTTAAAACAGAGAATAAATAAATGGGTTCAAATGAGTTTATGTAGCTATACCAACTGACACAGCTGGTTGTAATTAGACCTGATTAGCATAGTAATTTGCATACACAGGAAGACTGGAACTGATTGCCGGCTGCCCCGGGACTTGTCTGCACTCAAGTTTGGGTTGTTTGTCCAACATAGACCCACACACAAACACCCTCAGGACTCAAGACTTTTTTTTTTAAAGTTCACATACAAATCTACATAAGCCTGTTATGCCCCGCCCCTCCGCTCCGCCAGTCTCAGAGTGAATGGGGTTTTGAGGTTAATTGCTTGTTCGAGAGAAGTGAACACCAGCTTGCCCTTACGTGATGGGACATCTCCTCTTTGCTGCACCTCAAGGTAACCGGCAACCTTTTGGGCGCGCTAGAGATCAACGGCAACACCTCTCGGCAAATTGAGCCACGAGGGAGACAAACACTGAGGGGAAGGAGGTGAATTGCCAGTGGCGGGAATACACAGCTGGGTCATCAGATATGTGCACTGGGGATAAACCCATTGCCACTACATAATCCCTTGGCCATGTTTTTGGTGAATTGGAATCCTTAAGAATTCAGTCTGAGTTGTTGGCAACACCTGTGTTTATTGAGGCTGTTCTCCTACACCATGCGTAGCAACAAGTAATGCACTATAATGTTTTTAAAAGCCACGCAATTAAGTCGTTTGTTAACCAAATAATCATGAGCCAGGACAGGTGATGTCGGATGATGAGTGATTGACACTTATTTGCACTCAACTTCCATGCTTAACATTACAGAAAGGAACTTTTAACTGGTTATGAAACAGTCTCAATGTCATACTAATGCCTCTATAGGAGCTACATCAGTGAACGAGACCATCAGAGAGAAGATTGGCTCTTTCTATATAGTTATTCTTAATGCTCGTCATTGGTGCCACCTGGTCAGATTCTGGTAACATTAGATGAATCATGCAGGTTCACCAGGAAATTCTTCAGCTCAGACTCCGATTCAGATCCGGCTTCGCTGCAGACCTGCAGTCTGAAGCGCCGGCAGGCAAGGCAAACCACGTTTTTTCCTAAACCTAACCAAGTAGTTCTGTAATTGCTCGTGCACCTGGACATTTGTAGGAAAACTCACAAGAAACCTTTCGTGAGATATCGTATGAACCGTTACATCAGGAAACCATGGTTTACTGGAGGTAACTGTGAGTGCAGTTTACAGTAAATCCATTTGAACTTCATAGTTTCATTTAAAAATGCATCAATGGTGAAATCGATCAGTTGATTTTCAATTCCTGAAACGTTGACTGTGCTGGAGCATTTGGGGGACAATGACAAGAGAAAATGGCATAATTGCTATGCACAAATGCCCAGTGTGTAATAGCAGCTACAGTAGTTGGGTATAATATTATGCTAATGTAGATATGCTGTGATGAATCTCATATGGTTTTCTCCTAAACAAATTATTTCTTCATATTTCTGACTGCCAAGGATCACTGGCTTTCAATTAAGCACTGAGAAACAAACAAAGCGTGGGATATCTGTCTCTGTCAGGATGGATGGCTGGCTGTTTGTCTCCTTTTGTCTGTCTCTCACACGCACGCACACACCTGTACACTCTGCACATAAACAAAAACACTGCAATAATAGCCTGCCCACACACACACACACACACACACACACACACCATCAACTCAATACCAAATGGATGCCTCCCTGTTTATATGACCTCCAGCACTCTGACCCTTAATCCAAGCACACACGCACACAGCAGTACTCACGGAGTTGGTGCATGTCTATCCAGCTCCTGCTGGCAGGACAGGCAGTGATGGTGACCACGGGACACGGGTTTCCAGCCAAAGTGCCACAAAGAACCTGCTGCTGGAAGAACACCTTGGCGGGGTCCACTGATTTCTGCAGCACCTTCAGGTGAGCCTGACGGACACAAGTGTGTTGAGTTGGCATGTAGGTCCTGATGTAGACATGCATATACAGTGCAGCCATTTACAGTGACATGATTTACATTGTAATGTCTCTGTATTCACATCTTATTGTCTCCTAATGTTTATATGAAATCAACATAATAAGTAAGTAACTATCTTGACATATTTCATTTTTCCTACATTATCCATCTGTGGCAACTAAAGGAGTATTGATGCTTTTATTGTTCCCTTTAAACAACTAAAATATTTGCAGGGTTTTGGGGGCATTTCACAGATCCCCGTGCTGAGACATGTCGTCGTTTTGGTTCAACTGTTGAACAAGTCAATGTTGACTTGAGGAATGAGATGGGATGCATAAACATTTCACCAAAACCAACTTTCCCCAATCTTGAGGGTTCATGTGAGACACAGAGCTCTCCAAGTCAGTGTAAGCTGGCTAGTCGCCAGGAAAAAATGGGAGAGAGACGTCTGGAATACCCTGTTAAGCCACCGGGACCAGGCCCCGGATAAGCAGAAATGATAATGGATGAATAATGGAATGGGCGTTTTTGCATTCAGGCCGAGCAAGTGGTGTTTTACAACGAACAATATGCAGTGCAAGTCACGTATCTGGAGCGGTATAATAAACAGTATTAAGACCAAGAAAGTCCACTATGGACAGCTAGGAGGGATGATGGATGGGACAAACAAACACAGGACTTTCACCTAGGAGACCACTGTTCATGTCGTGCGCAAAGGTAAAAGTTGAGTTTACTCTTGTTATGTAACTCTATGTAAGAAAGTCTGCGAAGGACATGTTATAGACGGTAGTTGCGTTGATACGGTTGTTCTGGTTGTTACTTTATGTTGTTACGTTATTATTTTAACACAAACCATGATGCTTCTTCTTGCCTTAACTAAGTACTTTTGTTGCCTAAACCGAACAAATCCTTTCACAAAGTTAACCGACGTTGTATTGTGCGTTTCTGCAAGCCTGATACGAGCCTGATTTCTGGTCTGTCAACGTATCCTGTGGTTTACGGAAACATACAATGCCAAGATATTTTCTGGTGACCGGGTTGGTATGGCATTTCTATGGTATACATACATTAAAAGGAAGATTAGGAAGTAGAGGGCCCAGGACTTTGGCCTCTGATCCATTAGGTGTGCACAGTAAATCTTTCCAATACAAAATACCTCTACTCAGATGCAGTGGTGGGCCGTCAGGGCCAGCAAAGCCTTCTCTGCTGGCCTAAACAGAATCACAAAATTATAGCTATTTTATAATTTAATAATTTTTTCACAAATACACTACATGTATTATAATTATTTTTCCCATTAGCTTATTTTGTCAGTGCGCAGGTAGACTTTGCAGATTAAAGTAAATGGGGACGATATTGTTGATAGTCATAGTGTTCAACCAATCACATTTTTAGTTTGACATGTTGGGCGTATTCTTTGACGTGCGAGAGCTACCGAGGTAGTCTACAAGTACATCAGCATTAACGTGCAGCTCAGCATTAACATGCGGCGTGATTGGTCAGTGGGCTAGCGTGACTGTTTTGAGGCTGAAGCAGCTAGCATAACTTAGAAGTAGTAGTAACAGTTCAAGTTGAAAGATACAGTATGTAAGAAGTTATGATATTGACATGACATTTTTAGCATTTTGCTTAGTGTAGATTTTTTATTTTTTTTACCTAGCTTTGTTTTTTTAACACTCAATGGCTGAATGAGGAGAAACAGATTTTTCAAGGAGGACATTTCAAGAAAAAATGGACATCATAAGAAAGGGTCGGCCAACCCCACAGCTAGCAGCCCTGACCCAGCCAGGAAAAGGATTTGTATGAACGGTATTCCTGGCTAACAGCGTCGGAGAAGCGTTGCACATTTTATGGCTAAGAATGCGTTTTATTTGCGACTGAGCGTCTTGGTGTTTGGAGCTGTTTGGAGCTACGCTACGCTAACCTCAGTTGGCTAACCAAGGCAGCAACACGACACCATAGCACAGTAGGACACTTACAAGCTACGGTGTTTTTGAAAACTTTTGGAGAGACCCGAGTGGATCTACAACTCAACGAACACTTTCACAGGAGGACCTCTGGCTGGAACTGAACCGCACCGATGTTCTGTACAACCGCATCGATGTTCTGTACAACCGCACCGATGTTCTGTACAACCGCACCGATGTTCTGTACAACCGTGTCATTAAACTCTTTATAAACAAAGAAAGGAGGATGGACTTTGTCTTTAAGTGAACAGTAGCTTTGGTAAGTGAAGTGCTTTTGTGTTTTTACTAGTGCTGGGCAAGTTAATGCGTTAATTTTGCGTTAACGCATTCATTAATTAACGCCGACAATTATTTTATCGCGCATTAACGCATTTTTAAAATTTATTATAATTTGGGTTTTTTTTTGTTTTTTTTTTAAAGACAAGAAACAATACATATACATAACAACAAGAGGATGACAAGAACAGTGGGATAAAAGCCAGCAAACATCCTATAGTCAGTTGTGTGTGTGTGTGTGTGTCCTTGAGCCTTTTGAGATGGGAAAAAAAAAAATAATAATAATAATAATCATTAAAAAACAACAACAAAAATCGCGATTAATCGCAAAAAATCCATGTGATTAATCGCGATTAAATATTTTAATCGTTGCCCAGCGCTAGCTTTTACATCTGCAGTAGCGTTACTACTGTGTGCATTTGTCTATGGTGTCGTTTTTATGATATGGTTAATATTGTTCCCTCTGATATTTGAATGGCTCGTGCCCTTGAGTGTACGGTGGAATGCGTGTTTTAGCACCGCAGTGTTGCTGGAATGTTTTGTCATGCTTTGTTGTCATGTGACTGGTTCTTGTGAGTTTGTTCTTGTCATTGTGTTAATTACGTTGATTTTGACAATATACATTGTCCGTTAATGACGAAGCATCCCGTCATGCGCGGGTTAGGGTCGCACATTTGATTCTCTGTTTGGGGTTTTGTTTTCTTTTACAAAGTAAGAATTATGGTCTAGAGAAATGGGGATTGTGTGGCGATTGCTTTAGCCCTGTTTGAATCAGTAGGGATCAGCTAAACACTGCGGGGAGAGTTTGTAGCCTGTGTGCTGCTGTTGGTTTTCCTGCTAAGCTAGTTTAGCATCGCCTCCCAGAACACACGCGCCTCACCTCACCAGGGTACAATGTTTTGTTTCCGGGGTCAGAGTTTATCTTATGTGGTGGATTGCCAGGTTGAGCGAAGTCCACTGAAAACATTATATTGCCCATAATTTAAGCTTCTGCATTTTCTAAATGATATAGTATTATTCAAACGTATCGTTCGGTTCGTAAGCCTCGTACCGAACGGTTTAATACGAATACGTGTATTATTACACCCCTAGAAACAAATAATAACCCGTAGCTGTGGCGTCATAATGAGGTTATTATGAGGTGGTTCAACTGTAGAAGGACAGCACTGAAGGCCCAGGTATAAAATGCACGGCCCGCCACTGCTCAGATGAAATGGCTCGGACCCATGACAAGGTTCTATAAACACTGTTGCTTTGGATTTTGATTCTTTAGTCTAAACATTTCCGTTCTTCTGGCCCATGAAAGAGGACTTGTTATCACTTTATAACATTTACCGTCATATTCATCTCTTGTTGCAAAAAATTTATGTAAGGCTGGAGAGAAATCCCAATAATCAGCATTACCGTATTGGTTGCAGGAAATGAGCATTATAATCAATGTCCCGTGGCCGCTACACTGATTTATGATTACATTTGCATACCAGCAAGGTTGCGTGGAACTCAGCTGAAGGAAATATATACACATGAATTATTTAAGCAATTACAGATCGACTTTTTGAAAGAAGCTTCATTTGTAATATATATTATATATGTGTGTACTGTGGCTTCCAACCGACAAGAATGATTCCTGTTTACCATACTAACAGCCTTTTAACTCTTGTCTTTGTGTTGAAATTGGTTTTAGGTCTTCATTGTTTGGGTTCCCAAAGACCTCACTGCTGTAATAACGTTGACTTGACTAGTTGTCCTTCAGAGGATTATCATGGGTTTTTATTTCAAATGTTCAGCTGTAAAGTAACTCCAGAAGTAAAGGATAGAAAACACAAAAGAGATAGATGGTTGGTGGGGTGGATCAGTACCTTCAGAGCAGAGTATGTGTAGGGATAATGGTAGGCCAGGTAGCAGACGTCCTCATTGTGTTTGAAGGTGATGGTAAAGGTCAGAGTATAAAAGGTCATTCTCCTTCTGCCTCGAGCTGGACAAAAGTGGTTTCTGGAGGAGAAAATAGAGGGATTGACAAACATTAAGTTAAGTTATGTGAAGATGAAAGATCGTGTCTGTGAGGTTTCTATCTTTAGCACTGAGTGCTCTAGTGCAGGACTACTTTGCTCTTCAGACACCACTTAGCATTGAAACTGCTCTTTGTCATTGACCTTTCTTTTGTTGGAGTTCTAACGTGAATCAATATCATGCTGTGTCATATGTTAAAACACTGAGTTATGACTTCAGTCATTCAGGCTTCGTGTGTGTCCTGAAAAAGAGACGCTGGCACAATTATAGTTATCTAAGGGGTCAAAATTCTTTCTCTCTAAGTGATTGGATTGCCAGCATCATCTAAAATGCTATTTGTAGTTTACAGCAGAAGAAAAAAACCACATTGGTTTTGTGAATTTCATTCTCACCTGAAATAACAAATTTCAGTCCCGGTCCTGACCCAGTGTGGTCTACCTTCCAGAGCTTCCCTTACTGAGTACAGCACGGGCTGCATTCCTGCAGTGCACACAGACACACACACAAACAGATAGACAGTTAGCCACATGGAACAGCATGTAATCAGGTGTAACAGCAGTGAAACTAGTAGAAATTGATAGTAATGCTGCAGTGTCACTGTCTCTATAATATTATTATGTATGCTATATAATATTAAAATGTTCATCTTTGATGTAAGATTGTACATACATTGATATATTTTATTTAGAAAAACAAAAAAGTACAAAGAGACACAAAATTATCAGAAAGAGCCACAAAAGAACTACAAAGAGACAAAACAACTACAGAGAGAGAAAACCACCATGATGAGACACAAATCCACAGAGAATCTTAACGACGACAAAGAGACACTCACAAAACATTCACAATAGTTCTAAGATGTTTGGGGTGTTTGCTGAATCTGCCAGTCGGAGACTTACCCCCAAGTTTCCTGACTGTCAAAAACACAATGAAGAATGATGACCTTGTATCTAGGACCCCGAACTCTCTCCCTCAGTAACCACAGTCTTTTTCTACGGTGGATATTTTGCCCCGAGGCTAGAAAAGTTAAAGAGACATCGCTTCTTGTTGAACCAAAAAAAAAAACAGCATAAAATCTCCAGGGGTTAAAAATAGATAGTTGTTGGATGGATTTGTAGCCTGCCAGATAGCACATTGCAATCTTCCAGAAGAAAAGCCATTTTCTGTACAATGGGATAGGGACTATTTTGGACGAGCCGCCTTTACTTTCTACTCATTGGCTCCTTCCTGAGATGAAACCGATTTCCCCGGTGGACGTTAAAAAGAGCTATTTTCCGGTACAAAGGGCATTGTATGAATCAGGGTGTAGTAAATGTGTGTGGAAGAAATAAGATTGCTGCTGGAGGTACTGAGTGTGCTTTGCAATGCCTTTTTGTCTGTGTGTGTATTTAGCTCTAGCGGATGGCCTATTATAGTTGGACCCACTGCTGAGCCTGTAGAGCTGTCTTCAGAATGAGAGAGAATAAGAAAAAGCATGGCGAGGGGTCTGCCCCATTAGCCCCCACACTGTGTGTGTGAGTGTATGTATTGGACAGAGACTGAGCTCTGATAGAGGGTCAGAGTGCAAAAGGCCATTTAAATAAGAAAATCCCACTGATTGATGCTACATCCATACTACTCCGTTTCTACTCCATTTCTACTTGGAAGCAGAGTTGTCAAATAGAAACGACCTCCGTCCACACGGGAGTTTCAGCATCATTCTCGAGTTGATCTGCATCCACACGGCAGCCTTCGAAGGCGGACAGCACGTGACCATTAACGTACACTGGGCATGCGCGTGACGGTGTAAACAGGAAGTAGATTGCTTGCTTAGTTAAAAAAAAAAATACAACAGAGTAATAAAGTAGTCTTCAATAATGAAAGGTTGTATTTGATACTTAAGATCTTCCTCTATAAACTCAAACAGACAGTTCGTGGAAAGTTTTATTTTTCAGACATAGTTACAGCGCTGCGGGTCTATCTCTCTCTCTCTCTCTCTCTCACATCAGGGGATAAGCTGGGTCACCCAACAGAAAAACAGGGACAGCATCTTCGCCCTCTATCAATTACTTAGGGCATGGGGGAATTGCTCCATCTTTTAGGGCACAACTCTAGCTCTGAACATCATGTAACATGTCCGAGTAGCTAGCTTCTAAGCTAATTTTAACATTACCGCCAATGGGGAAATGCTAACCGCGATTAGCATTAGCGAATATAATATATCTTCGTACATCTTTTCATGCTTCATACAGACATACTTACAGACTAAGGTCTCTCAAGGCTACCTAACGGAAGAAGTAAAACGAAGCAGCGTGTCTTCTCATTAGAATCTAAAAACAACGAGGCACTAACTGTTGTTGTAACTGGTAGCTCTGAATAGCATTTACGGCTAACTGGCTTGGCCGCTCCATAGGGCTGATGACGCCGCTGGTCACGGCGCTCGCTAATCGCCCCAATAACAGCTGCGTCCTCCACAGAAATGCAGACTTTCAAGCAACGCTTGAAATTAGTTATCCATGTTGAAATGAATTACTGGTCGCCCTGGCTGTTTGTTTTCTTCCGGGTACAGGTCACGTGATAGTGAGTGTGACGAATCAGGGACGGAGACGTCATGGCTGCTAATAACCAATCCAGTAGCGAGCACGGGTGTGGGCTAATGTTTACAAACACACATCCATTTCCGACCGTCCACAAGCAACCAAAACCCCAGAGTTTTCAAATACCTCCAACCTCGGGGGAGTTTTCAGACTCCTCCGTTTAGGGTGCTCCAAAACTCCGGCGTAGTGTGGCCGCTCAGTGTAAACGTAGCCAATACGGAGTAAAAACGGAGTAATGTGGACATGGCCTGAGTAGAGGGTAATACAGCAACATGGCTCTATTGATTGAGGTCTGTTTTTATGTCAGCTCAAGGGGTATATATCAAATATATAGTCACCACACCTTTCAAAGGGACTTAGAGTATGTATTGGACATGAAGCAATGAAGAATGATGTTGCACTTTTTAAATAAACGTTTTGAATTGATTCTTACAGGCAGAGGACCAACTATTATGACACTGAACAAGAGCAGCATCTGGCAGTCTGTCTCAGCTAAATTGTTGTATTGCCTAAAATACTGTGAGCTACATTATTGAGTTTCCTTTTTCGTGAAATGCCCTAAGTAAATTTGAGTTCCCTCTTGTAAACAGTTATGCAGTGTATATGTCCAAGGCTTTTATTGTTAACGGACAGAGGTATGCGCTGCCTTTGTCAAGATTGAAAGGAGTAATAAAGTTTGCCCTTCTTGTTCGGACTCCAGAGCCTGCATGTTGTTGCTCTATAATACTTGTGAGTACTACAGTGTACTTTCCGCTAAATGTAAATCGGACGATGTATTTATTCCCGGTGCGAAAGCTGAAGCTGAAAAAAACATTAAGTCGCTTTCTCGCCACGTACAAGTTGTGTTCTGTGTGAAAGTATTCAGGACAAAAACATTGCAAATGACATGCAAATAAATCACTCGAAAAAGAAAAAATATAACACCGCCAGTAAGTAAAGGCTCTAAAACGACTTTGTCAAATACATTATGAGTAGTCTTGTGTGAGCTTTTTACATTTACTCCTTGTAAAAAAGTGTCACGTCATCCTGCCTAAATCAGCTCAGGGAGAAATTTGACTTTTTGTATGAAAATGGAGGAATTCAAAAATGTTTTTTGAATGCTATTCCGATAGATGCTTACAATAGAAAAGTGAAAGCCGTCAGGAGAACAAGACTGTAAAAGCTCATCAGTGCTATTATCATTTTCATACTGTAGTCTCTATTAAAGTATGCTGTATTAGCTATTAGCAGCCCTCTTAACTATCAACAGATTACTTGTATACGGAAGAAAACAATTATTTGCAATGGACATCAGAGATAATAATATCCATCACACTGAATTATATCCATGGGTTTCACAACTGTGTTCACATTTCACTGAGCTATGAAGAAAAAAAGGAGAGAGACGTTTGACTTTAACTCCCATCAGGCAGTATCTTTGCCTCTCCTTAAAACCTTCCCCCCTTGGGAGGCTTTCGTCTTTATTCAGAAGGATGCTATAAATAAATGAGCACAGTGAAGATTCCACTCCCCACCTCCTGCTGTAATGCTAATCCAAACTGGTATTAACAAAAAGAAGTACTGTCTCTGCAGAGAAACAAAGGCCACTCTGAAGCGAGGTCCGGGTGTGCAGTGTGCATGCGAGCGCTATTGCTTTGGACAACCACCCGCACAGCTGTCTGCATATTTACAGATTTCTGTGCACCCTGCATTGGCGCGTGTGCGTATGTCAACAGCAGTTGCTTTTCTAGTAGATGCGTAGTTAGCGTGTTTGCAGGCGAGTACACACCAAATGTTTATGGACGCATGAAAAAATTCCAACCCGTTCTCACTACCTGTATGGGACTGCCCATCAGGGTGGCACCATTCATACACCTGCGGGAGCAATTTGGGGATAAGTGTCTTGCCCAAGGACACATGGTTTAGCGGAGCCGGGGATCGGACTGCCGATCCTCTGATTGAAGACCGACCCTGCTCTACCACTGAGCCACAGTCGCCCGACAAGCAAGTGTTGTTGGATGAGCCAAACAACTACAGAACTTTGACCCAGGAGACCTGTGTTCGTGTCCACTGTGTAACCATAAGTCAACGTGGACCATTTAGTCACGTCAACCGAGCTCTTTTCCTAACCCTAAGTTTCTTTGCCTTAACCTAAATTATCTGTGAAGACGGAACTTTATTTTGAAAAGACACATATGCATATAGCGAGCAACGTCCCGACACGACCAAAACTGACGCTAGAGGGGTACATGGAGCCCCATGGGTTGATTATTAGGACCATTGACCAAGATGCCATATTTGACAAGTTGCGACTGAGAATGTGTGGGGCAATTCATGTTTGCAACTACATGTATGCCCTCACAGTCAGGTGTCTGGAGAAAAAAAAAGACCTGGGACTTGGCAGACTGACCACTGGCTAGAGCTTGTTTGCTGTACATGAACTAAAACCTCTCTAGCGCGGAAAGAGGTGGAGTTGGATGATGATCAATAGCATCTGAATACAACACAGGACTTGGAACCAAACTTGTAATTCACAGGGTGTTTCCAGGCAATTTCAAGCAGGGGAGGAGAACTGCTGACCTCAACAACAGGGGATGTAATCAGAATGAAAAAGGAGCACTTTAAGGAACTGCTCGCAGCTGACATGCCCTTGCAGAGGTCCCTCAGGTAGGAGGCCTCACAGTAACATTAGTTCCTCAAACTAGGACAAGCTAATGACCTCAAGGTACACATCATTGGTCGGCATTACAAACGGTACACAAATAAGTGTCCGTTAACTGGTGACTCCAAGCCAAATGCGCTGTGGTTGCACGTAACGGTGGCTGCTGTGTCCTCATGAAAGCCTTCTGTTTTACTTTAATCAATTTTAAATACATACTCACCTGTGTTTTATTATCGACGCCAACCATTTACGCAGGTTACTATAAGCAACCGTGGACGCATCTGGCTGAAAGTCACCGGTTAAGACTGTTAGCGGACAGTACAGCCACTACAGCTTGCCATCGCAGTAATGGCGACACTGCTAGATGGCAAATCACACAAAGCGGTTGCTAGATTCGTCTGTAAGAAGTTGTGGAAAAAACACTACCTCGTAACATCATTGAATCATGGATAATGCATCAAAGTGTAAACTTGAATGAGACTTTAATAATTTGTAAAGGATGTCATTACAAAACACACACAAACACACACAAAACCTTCTCACCATAGTTAAACTGGCTGTTGCTCTTCTCACAGTTGATGACATTAAAACGGTAGGGAACGTCTGCCACCATGTTACTGACTTCAAAGTAGAACCACTGGGTGTGCTGGCTACTGTTTGCGTCTGCATTCAGTATGAGGTCATATTCATATCTACGGAAGAGAAGAAGACGAAACAAGACACATGCTATAGTGGTTGTATCAGTGTTGAATGTGGGCCTACTGTGTAAGGACTACATAGAAGTAATAATACCATTCTGCTTCTCATTGACTTACTGTACTTGACCTTGTGCTCATAGTGTTTGTGTGTGTGTGTGTGTGTGTGTGTGTGTTCCGTCCATACCTGCGGACCTGAACAGCCTTCCTTAGGTTCCCACATTCAAACTTTGAGAAAAACCTCAAGGAATCAGATGGACACTGGAGACTTACAGACAAAGAGACAGAGCGGATTTAAGGGCATATTATTTAATTTCCCATTTGAGCAACTAATGAAAGATAATCCAAACATTAATCTTGTACAGCTTAATGCATGTCTGTATTGTGTTTGTGCATGTATATATGTATACCAACCTGCTGTCTTCCAGGTCAAACACTACCTGGTTGATGATTCCATCAGTAGTGAGGAAGCGTTGGGCATCCTCAAACGCTTTCTGCCTGATAAAAGAAAGCACAGGCATGAATATCTTAACATTGAGAATGTCCCTTCAATATATCTTAGTACAAGGAACTTTAATTTGGTGTTGATTTTGGCGGTCCCTGTGGACAAAAGCGTTTCCGGACGAAAGCCTCTCATTTTACTAGAGCAGGATCTGACAGTCTGCCCATTACTGATTCTGGTTGTTCCGGGCCTCCCTTCCCTTCAGCGGACCCAGCAATACGGCCTGGGGCTCCAGCAGCCTGGTGTTAGTTTTGGCCCCCAGCAGGGACCGTGGGATCCGCCAGGTAAAGCCCTGCTCCTGGCCTCCCACCGGAGCTCAGACTGCAGATGGAAGGCGGCAGCAAAGTCGGATCTGGCTATGTCGGTGGTTTGTTGGTCGCTGCCGGACCGGTGGCACCGATGACGAGCATTAACAGTAAGTATAAGAATCAGCAAATCGTCCCGCTGATGGTCTCGTTTGCTTATGTAGGTCATATAGGGCTATCAGTATTACAATGAGACTGTTTGATAACCAGTTTAAAGTTCCTTGTAGTAACTTTAAAAACCTAGATGTGATATATAAATTAGTTGGGGGTCACAAGACGTTTTGACAGAAGTACGGGAAGTTTAAATGAGACGCCAGAAAGTATTGATGATTTCCAAGGCAGGAAACACTTGGACTAGTTTTCAGTAGAGCACAAGCTTTCTAACCACATTCACTTTGTCAACACTGTCACTTCACCAACCAATAAAACCACTACTGTGAAACCAGGGCCACATTGTAGCTCACACACACCACAGTAAAAACTATATAGTAAAGTTCTTTTCCCTATTTAGTCAAGATGCATTTAATTGGAAAACATGTCGGACAGAAGAAAATTGGAATAGGACAGAAAATGCAATAAAGATATGCAACAGGCTTTCTTGTCTGATTTGGTCTGAAAACGAGCATGACAGCAACTGTGCACTGGTTTCTTGCTATCTGGTCTGAAGTACTTCTTTCAGGTTCTGTACTTAAAGGAATAGTTCAAGGCAAAGTGAAGCAAATTCATTTATCTAGCACAATTCATACCTCAAGGCAACGCAAAGCGCTTTACAGATTAGACAGGTGAAAAGCACAAGAAACAAATGATAAAATATCAATGAAAGCAAACAGGCAAGGAGTAAAAACAATAAAAACTATTGAACAAATCATTAAAAGCACACAGAATAAAAATAAAAAGCAAATTTATTTGATTCAAATAAAAATGAATAACAGGAATGGCAAACAGGTACAGTAGGTCTTTCGCTTGGATTTGCTCACTAGAGGCATGCCTGAGGTTCTTTCTGTATCAGAAGATTTGAAAAGTGTCTTGGACCTAAACTGTTCAATGATTTGTGAACAAGCAGTAGTACATTTAAGTTGATTCTGTGAGAAACCGTAGAAAATTTCAAATGCCTTTTTAGTCCTTGTTAAAATCCTGGCAGCATCATTCTGGATTAGCTGAAGCTGTTTGATGGTTTGTTTGTCTTAGCCAGGCCACCTTAAATCAATACAACGTTTATACAGTATATTGCTCCATGTTGGCAGGCTCCCATGAAAAGCTTTCAATCCAATTGCACTAAGAGGAACAGAGTGCCTAAAAGTGAAAAAAAGCATGTTCAAGCCACCAAAACACCCCAAGTTGACCTTTTTTAAAGTCAAGGACTCAACAGTTTACAGCACCGTGTTTTACTGTTAGTCTTTGCAGAAAAGGCAAGGCTTTCTGAGGGAAACCCCAAATGTTAGACAAATGCTTTAACAAATGATTCACATGACCACTCTTTGATCTGCCATCCCTATGACTAAGGTTGGACAAAAGAAAAAGACCAACGCTGTCATATTTCTTGTGGGCCTGTGTTGGTTTTCCATTTAAATTTCTACAGCTAACACACAGCATTAACCACTCTAAAGGTAATATTCTGTGTAAAAGTGTTTTTTCCTCCCTGTTTTCAACAACAGCCTGGTCAGCGCCATGATATTCTGTTCTTTAAACATTTTGAAAAACTAAATAAGCAAAGTAGTCCCATGGACAGAGGCAGAGTGGACTGGAGGAAAACATCAGGGTTAGAAATGAGACGGAGCTTGAAAGGTTGCTCGCATTCGGCCTTATCTCACTCTACACCGGAGACAATTTAGTCGCAAAGCAGCCCGAACAAAAATTGCATTGACATTATTTCTGTTAAGCGACTGCAAAACTGCAAAAATGTTTTTGTTTTATTTCAATGTGAGCGGCAACAGACATAATTAGATTAAGTTCAGAGGGAAATTGCATCTTTAACATTTTTAAATGTCAGCGTCTGTTTGCCTCTTGAAACTGCTGAGAAAATGTCTCGGAGGAGCGACATTAAAAAGTGCTCTACGTACACACACACACACTCCTCTATATACACACATATAACAATAACAACATATGTGCAGATTTAAATTACACTCATATAGCCACACAGCTCAAGTAACAATAGACACAATTAAAGGTTTAATACATAAATTAAATATAATTACCGCCTCGAGGTTGTATGCCTCCGCCAATCATGTCTGTCTAAAGTGTCATCACTTTATCTTTTTATCCTATTAGACATTTATGTGAAATTCTCATAATTAGCATATCAATACATTAGTTATGGACAAAAATGTTGTGAGGTAACAGTGACATTTGTCCACCCAAAAAATCTAATCAGTTCCTACTTGAATCCAAGTGGACGTTGGTGCCAAATTTGAAGAATTCCCTCGAGGCCTCCCTGAAATATTGCATTCACAAGAATTGGAAAGACGTGAGGTCTCAGTGAGGTTTAACCGCCAAAATCTCATTAGTTCATCCTTGAGTCCAGCTGGATGTTGGTGCCAATTAGAATAAATTACCTCCAGGCGTTCCTGAGATTACGTTCACGAGAATGGACCGGACTTTTGTACAGATGGACGGACAACCCAAAAACATAAAGCCTCTGGCAACGGCTGTCGGCAACATTTCCATATTTCTATTTCTAGAGAAAATTGTTTCATTCAATATTTTGGAAAAAAAACATTTAAAACAAGACAAATCAACCTCAGGGTAGCAAGAAAATTACATTATTTTATGCATATGTACCAGAGCCAGATGTTTGGCATCTTTTCTTGGCTGCTAGTTCATTAATGTCTGGGGTTGGGTTCTGTGGAAACCCTCACGATGGAGTGAAGGTGAGCATCAGTGAGACGACTCCTGTGTGGGTTTGTGTTCATCTTCACCACAGAGAAAAGCTGCTCACACAGGTATGTGCTTCCAAACATGCAGAGCATTTGAGCAGCATGTACGCGGAGTTAAGGCATCGTTTCGGGGTGAAGCTTGGAAACTGTGCAGCGCCCTCAGAGTCACACTTTGCTTTGAGTGTGTCAATACACTGGAGGTCTATCAGCTCCATTTGGAAGTGCACAGGTGCTCTTTCCACATCAACTGCAAACGTATTGCTGAGTAGTTCAATTTTAAATTTCTGAGCTGCAAAGTCGTCAAATCGCCGCGTGAACTCCGTGCCAAGTGCGCCCAGTTATCAGCAAAATGCACAGTCGGGAACACAGCGGTTGAGACAGGGTGTGTAAGTGTTTGATCCAAGTTTCCTTTCTGCATCTGAGTCTGCCACAGGCGCAGCTTGGCTTGGAAAGCTCTCACTATATCATACATGTCTGTGATCACATGTCCCCGTCCCTGAAGCTGGAGGTTTAGCGCAGTGATATGCTTCGTTATGTTGCACAAAAAGGCCAGCTCACATCACCACTTTTCGTCCTGGAGCTCTGTGGTGCGGCGGGCCGGTTATTATAGACATATGATATTTTCTCGCGGGCCGGATATAATTGTACCGAGGGCCAAATATATGCTGACAATATATTGATAAGTCTCTCAATTTGTTGATCCTTATAGGCTTTTCATCTGGGTTATTTTGTCCTGGGCCCAGTTTTCTGCATTTTTCCTTTTCAAATATTTCTCCATCGCTGTTCGTCTTGTCACCGCAACCTCTCCCGCGCGTCATTTCATTCTACTGTCTTAAATGAACACGGTCATTACTGCGCTACCTACTGCCAGAGTATTTATTACTTAGCCAGCCACTATATTGCAGGCTCAGGCGCTCAACAATGGCAAACTATTTGCAGCAACTAAATAATGTTTTTTGGACCGATTAAGGGAAATGGGACATTTTCCCACGGCACACCTGATGATCTCTCTCAGCACACTGGTGTGCCGTGGCACAGCGGTTGAAAATCATTGAATTAGAGAATCATTTGTGAAATACTATATTTTCATTTGTCAACAAATCTCATGTACAGACCCAAACCAACACTCTACAAACAAGTATTGTGTATCAAGGCCTGATAGCATATCCTCTTCCTCCGTGCCATAGAGCTCCATAGTTAAAAACATGTCAATGAGCCACACTGTTGCTCTGGGTGACAGTTACTACACACGTGTAGTTTTATTCCTACTCAATCCCACACACACCATCCCGCTGCCCCATATATTCACTAGAGCACCGAACATGGATTAATCCGCCGCTCAAAATAGTCCCCAACAAACTTTTAAATAATTAATTTCAATAAGGACTATTGATGAATACTCGGTGTTGATTACAGATGTTTCTTTTCCATTGTAATTCGATGCCAAAACATTTTTGGCCCTATTGCGTCATATGACAGAAATTGTCAAAATTGGTCCAGCACTCTTCCAGAGGGCTTTGGGATCACCTGAATCAACGGTGGCAGGAAGTCAGGTGATGAGTGAGATATCGTTTTGGACTGTTCACCCCCAGTTTTCTATCAATAGTTATGTGTTTTAAGTATGACCAGGAATCTTCCATAACTTTAACTGCATCTTAATTATTGTAACAATAACAACAATGGTCCGAAGTAAAGTACTTATTTGCAGCCAAACCACAATGTTACCATAAACCTAACCACACCTTTGCCACAGCATTGTGAAATCAATACAAAAAAGATTTATTTTTCAACAGTTTATGAAGGACCTGACATAGAACATACTTCCATGTGTCATTCTGGACAAACAACAAACTTTGGAGAACTTTGGCGTTGAGCAGCAGCTGTCAATATCTAACTCTGGGACAAAGGGATGGACTGACTACAAGGTCTAGACATGACTTTTTTATAAATATTGGAGCCAGTGGACATGACCCAGAACGAGTGCTGACGTTTGCCTTATCTAAACTCGGCACCACTGACGCCAACATTATCTACTCACATTAGAAATCTGTTTTTGAAAAAAAACCTCTGGAAAGACATTTAAACTTCCCTGTTTACCTTGTGTCCAGGTTAAGTGTTGTCCTAGAGAGCTGAGCTAATGGTCATGAATGACCTTTTCTTGTTTACAAGAACCAACCGGTACTTTGGAACTAAAATATAAAACCTGAAATTGACTCCGATGCTGAAAAAGAAAAACGGTGACACTCGCTATCAGCAGCAATCAGCACAGAGATGAAGACGACTGCATTGAAATGCATGGCACAGTGCAGAGAGTTTCACACAACATTTCTCTATCTTCTCCTCTCTTATTCTTTATATATTTTGTCTTGTTTATTGTAAAATAGTGTATGTACATTGAGAGCGGAGTGGAAACCGGAGCCAAATTCCATGTATGCGTACGCATACATGGAATGCGTACGCAGTGCTGCCATAGTTACATGAAGATAGATAGCACACCGACAAGAGGGAAGGAGGGAAGAAATCACAGGGACCGTTATGAACGTGGAAGCGGCAACGGCAGTGTCACGTCTGCTGGAGAGGAGGGAGATGGCTTAATAAAAGAAGGGATGGGGAAATAATGGAATGTGACAAGGAGACTGGGAGAAACAGTAGGGGTGTGGGATGATAGTAATGAGTGAGGGAGGGGGGGGGCATAGGTGGTTTGGAGAAGAAACGACGAGCAAAGCTAAAGAAGAAAAGAGTGTGTGGAGGGAGAGACTGATCCTCTGGCTCTGTCCTCATACAGGCTCAGGAGCAGCAGATTGCAGTGACACTGGGCCTCGTGCAACAATCACTCGAACAAACACACTCCTTCTTAAGTGGCTTGTACAAGTGATTTAGGAGAACTTGCAAAACATTTTCTTGAATTTTGAATATTCTGTCAGGTCACAATACAATTTCCGAATGATTTTGACCTGTAGTAGGAGTCGTGTGCGAGAGTCAACTTCTGCACTTGGACATGGATTGTATATTTATACTTTGAAGGAATTTTGAGTTTTAAAAGAGAGAATTATTCTTTTTGACTCTGCAACTACAGCCAAATATATTTGTAGATGTATACATGTAGCCTAATGATAACGCCATTGATTTAAATTGGCCATTGATGCTATTGTATAAACCTACATTATTAATATAACCATCTCAAATGATCTGACCAACCTCCCGTTGCAGTATTCGATGGCCTTGCTGTTTCTCGTATTGGGGCCATTTCTTCTTTCTTTTAGTGACAGTACAACTCTGAGGGGCATTATGTAGCATTAATAGCACTTGTTATTTTTCCCTATACCTTGTCTTTAGCAGGTCTCTTAATTCTGATGCTGACGCTGTTAAAAATGACAAGACTTTCCTTTTTGGATCTCCGAAAACAGGACTTCAATATAGGACAAAATGGGCAGGGCGGGTAGCCTTATATGGTATCATTGGGGCGTTAATTTACATATTTCACAGGTGGCATTCCTTAGGTTTAGTTATGTAAAGTAATGAGCAGTGTGGCACACTCGTACAAGAAAAAATTAAAGTTTGCTTAAGCATACGAAAATGTTCTCACTTGAGGTTCATTGTCCCTTATGGACTTCTGTTTCTACGGTGGGGAACGGAGAGTCACCCAAAACCTCGGGCCTTTCTCAATACTGGGCGACTGGGGCTAAGTGGAGAGCAGGGCCGTCCTTCGGCGGTTCGATCCCCGGCTCCACTAGTCGCATGTCGATGTGTCCTTGAGCAACACAATTAACCCCAATAAATTGCTCCCGTAGCTGTGCCAACGGTGTGATAGAATCTGAATTGTAAGTCGCTTTGGATGAAAGCGTCTGCTAAATGACTGTAATGAAATGTAATACCAAGTATGGACTTGTGTACTTTGGAGTATGGACTTGGGAGTCTGGACTTTGGAGCCCAGACTCGAGCGGTTCACACAAGTACAGTCAACCGGGTATCGGGGGGCATCCCTATCTATGACAATAAATGATTCTGAAAACAGTCTGTGACAGTTAACCAATCTTAAACCCATCTTTATGTCCATGTTACATGAACTACATTACTCCTCTACAGACATCCGGTAAGTGCTGTAACGAGCGTGGCATACCTCTGTATGTTGGGTTTGCGCGGGGCCATGGATTCATGTCCTGGCGGTGGTAGGTGCCCCCAGAAGTCCGGGAAAGCCAGGATGCTGAACCCTGGAATAGATTTGGTTTTGGCAGCTGCTGCGCGGTACAGCTTGGGCTCATGGTGGAGGATACAGGCTCCATGTCTCTCCAATAACCTGTCTATCATGGTACGATGGTGGGATTTGTCTGCATCTTCCTCCTCATCATCCTCATCTTCTCCTCTCTGACCTAGGGGGGCTTCATCCCTATAGGTAAAGAAAACAATCAGAAGGTCAGACTGCTAGAATTACCAATCAAAGGCAAACCAGTTTCAAAGGCGAGATGATCTGATGATTTGTGAATATTTATATATCTTTGTGAGACTTTCTAATTATGTTATCAACAGAGATGTTCCATGTCAAATTATATAAGATTTATAAACTGTCAAATTACTGTGGAGGAGCAGAATAATTTGTGCCAAAAGATTCGAAAGACACTCAAATTAACACGTTAACCACAGAGAGACATAAAATGACTACAGAGTTTTGCATCTCTTTCAGTCTGGAGGCTTTCCTCTTTGTAGGAGGGCCCAGGTGGCTTTTATTTGTCCGTGACTCCATGTCAGTGGAAATCAGACAATATGTTGGTCTTTCCCAAAGAAATCCCTGTAATACAACTCCTCATACTCAAACAGACATCTCTCAGTTGGAACATTACAGGACACAGCATGAGCTAGTAATAATGGATGGGATGTGAGGGGAACTGAAGAGGTAACGGTCAGCTATCAATGTCCATTATCAGTGTTGAGGCTTTACACTCAGAGTTTTCACTTGACTTCAGTTCATTCAACCAACTTAAATTCTGTTCCCCTGGCAATTTAATAACTCTGACGGCCCGCGGGCGGGCCGTCAGAGTGTTAAGTGTAGATTTGTGTTGTGTACACAACTGCTCTGTAACGATGAGTATTAATGTGATATCTCATTAGAAAGCTACGGTTCTTGTAATTCGATTTATGCAAACCATTTCAAGATACAATAACAACAGCAGGTACAGTTAACGTCTCTGTCAAACAAGCACTCCAAAAATAGCTGATAAAATATCGCCATGACTCACCGATTATGATTCGTAACGTCCCCCTTGTGCTTGCTAGTCCAGCAAAAACGGTATTGTTTGATCAAATGTTGCATCATTTCAAATTAGCCAGCAGATATGATAACTCAAGATCATATTTCGGTCATAATTTCACTTTTCATGTCAACAGAGCGTAGATTTTCATCGCAAAATGAAGGCTGCATTCCGCCAGTTAGATTGACACCTCATTTGACCCAATAGGAGCTTCTATAGCCCGGTCACATTCTGGAACAGCCAACGAGAGTCCGCTTTGAAAGACAATGCCCGCCTCTCTTCTTTGAGTAACGCTCGAGCCAATTGGAAACAGATCCTGTTCAAACTCAGGATCTGCAGGACCGCACACAATGGATGGAGAATGGACCTGACAGTGTCAACTTTATATCTTTAAGTATGATGATAGGCTATTGGATTGTAATTTGAAAAGGGAGAAAACATACAAACCAGAACGCACGCACATATGTAGCATCTTAGAGTTATAAATAACTTGTCCATGTGAGAAACAATAGTTTAATTTAATGACATCACCAAAATATATATATATATATATATATATATATTTTTTTTTTTTTTAAATCCAATAATGCCAAATTATTTGGGGGGGCTGAAGAACATTTTAGGGGGGTTTCACGTACCTAAAATAGGCCTAACAACACCCCTGCCGTCAGGGCCTGTAAGGTCTTCTCTGTTGGCCTAAACAGAATCACAAAGTTATATCTATTTTATAATTTAATAATTTTTCTTAAATACACTACATGTATTATAATTCATAAAAATATTTTTCCCATTATCTTATGTTCTCATTGCACAGCTACTGTCTTCCTCAGTTGCTCTGCTTCCAGTGCAGCTTGTTTTAAGTAGAGCTTTTATCAAATCAGATTTCACCTCTGTGTCTCTAGGTAAGAAGAGAGGCAGAGGCCTGCAGACTCACAAGTGCATCCCTTTGCAGTTTAAGTGAATGGAGACGATATTGTTGATTGTCATAGTGTTCAACCAATCAGATCTTTAGTTTGACATGTTGGGCGTATTCTTTGACATGTCAGAGCCTGCTAGCCGGCCTATAATGACATCAGCATTACATGCAGCTCAGTGTCCATGTGCAGCTCTGCCACGAGGTGCAGAGTGCGCTGTGATTGGTCAGTGGGCGAGCACGTGACTATCGTGAAACGAAACTTAACAGCAGAGGCTTAGTCGGCGTTGTGAATCACATCACGTGATGCAGCTCAGCCAATCAAATATGGGCATTCTGACAAGTTTCCTGACTCGAGTGAGATGTACCACACACCGTGACACACGGAACTGAGACGAGGAGAGACACTCCAGAGCAGTACGTTAAATGTTTAAGTTGTGAAAGTAAAATCATAAAACTGTTTCCTAAAGAGACTAATGGGCTGTGGCATGTCATTAAGGGACAATGGTGGGTCCCACAGCCAGACCAGCTGAGAACCACTGTCTTACATAAGCACAGAAAACATTGTCTATTCCTGTATTTAAGCGCCTCCGTTTTCCAAATGCTCTAGCGTTATTCAAACGTGGTGTAAGCCTTGTACCGAACGGTTTAATACAAATACGTACATAGTTACAGCTTTAGAAACAAATAATAGCTGTGGCGCCATCATGTGGTTATTAGGTGGTATTTCAGCTGCAGGACAGCAGTGAAGGCCCAGGTATAAAATGCACGGCCCGCCACTGGGCAGCACACATACACAGATCCTTCTTTACATTCATTCTAAAGGTATTAAGAGATGTTCTGACTAAAACGTTGTACTTGTACTTGGTTAGGCTTGGAAAAATCACCTCCACGACTCTTACCACAGAGCACCACAGAGCTATACCCGTCATGGCGTGGTGAAAGTTTGGGCACCCTGTAGAGCTTTCCTCAGAAGAAACTTATTGTTGTCTGGGACTTGCGACTGAAATTATTTTTAAAGTTTAGTTTTCAACTCTAACAATTACATCTAAACTACCTGTACTACAATAATAATAATAAACTAAAACGTGGAGCAGCGAATCTGCCAGGTGTAATTATGGATCGACAGAGTAGAAACAGCAGATGGTAAGGATGCTGCATTTAGATGTAAAGACAGTGTGAAGAAAAGGCCTTCAATTCAGTACTACTGACTGTCATGACGGACAGAGACTTAATCTGCCAAGCGGGCATTGATGTTGGTGTATCACACATATTATCAAAGTAATTACCCACAGTGACTAAAATAGGACAACAACATTTTAGATGTGTAATCCTTAAAAATAAATTATTGGAAAAAAGCATGATTATAGAGTTACATTTGTTAAATTAAAGTACTTCTAAATTGTTTTGGCCCAATAGAACAAGGAACTTTCAATTTCTGTTAATTTTGTTTCCAGGTACCCGATTCCCTTTAGAAAACCTCTCATTTGACTGCAGCAGGGTTTGACACTCAATGCAGTACTGGTTCTGGTTCGGTTCTCCCGTGACTCCAGTCCCTCCAGCGAGCTTAGCAGTACGGCCTGGGTCTCCAGCTGCGCAGTCTTGGTGTTGGCTCCCAGCAGGGACCGGCGGAGAAGCGAGGCGAAGCTCTGCTCCTGCCTGGAGGAGGTGTTTTTAAAGGAACAGGCTCAGTGTCCTCGATGAATTCTTTCAGCCTCATTTCCTTTGTGCTTTCAGATTACATGTCCTTTCATCATTATCACAGCTTGACAAATGCCTTGTCCAGGCATCCATGCAGAGGAAATATTGAGTGTGAGCGTACCTTGCCTCTCTATCCTTGGTCCTGAAGCTGGGGCTGGTGCTGAGGATGCTGCTGTGACTGTGGAAATCACGGGCCTCTAACTGGGCAGCAGCTGGAGAGAGAAAAAGAGACAATTGAGCATTTGGATTGCCACTTTTCAAGAATAAGAGGGAAGAAAAATAAGGTTGTGGTTTTTTTAAACAAGGAAGGTTTGTCATGCTACAAACAAACAAAGGGCAGTCTATTTATTTTTTATATATACCTGTATATGCTAATGCTATCTCGTTTAATTGGTATTATCTGGAAAAAAAACATTTACAGCAAACATTTGTGTGGTGAAACAGATTAATGGCTGGCATTATATTAGAAATGACTGTATGAATATATAGAATATATTGTGTAAATAAAGATATGTATGAACAACATTTTATTCATTTTATTTAGAAAATCAGCATTCAACACTTAAGATGCAAAGCTAGGTGGTACACAAATGTGTATTATCACTTCTGGATCTTTTGAATAAAACTTTTTTTATGAACCAGACATTGTTCATTTACCAGTCTGAAGGCTGTTTAGTATTGCTGGCCATGCAGAACAGCTGCACTAATCCCTACTTTTACATGAACAATGACTCGTATAACTATAAATGTGAAAGGAGCTGCTCGCTGTGAAAGAAGCAAAAAGAATCTTCACCATTTTAGCTCATTCTTTTGATTTTCCACAGCTCCACTCATCAACCTCTAAAGCTCTGATAAACTCACTGTAGACTACCTGCTCAGCGGCAAACAGCAGATAGGCACAGTTAGAGACCAGCTGGTGGACATAGTGGAACATTTAGCAGCTAAAGAGACAAGTATTTCCCTCAGGAACTGGTGGAGACCAAAAACAGAGCAATAACTAGAACTACAGCCTCGCTGTTGTTTGCCTCCACGAACAAGTCAAGTTGCAGTTTACATCCATGTTTTTCCAAAATGTCATCACTTCATTTTTTGATCCTATTAATAGCATATACATTTCTGGGCTATGGACACAAATGTGTTTTGTGAGGTAACCTCAGCCTTTAACCAAATGTTTGTGCAAAATTTGAGGAAATTCTCTCAACGAGTTTCTGAGATATCACGAGAATGGGTCGGATGTGAGGTCGACAGTGAACTTGACCCATGACCTTTGACCATTAAAATCTATTCAGTCCATCCTTGAGTCCAGGTGGATCATCCGGTGGACACAAGCACAACTCCCAGACAACTTTCTAAGGCAACGGTATGTCAAATGTTGCGCTTTCATATTGTTTTGCTGTCCCACAAAATCTATGAATGCATCTTTCAATACACAGCAGTAACATCTCGTCACCAGGATGAAGTAACAAAACATGTTTTTATTAAATACACTCGACACTTTTACACTACACTTACATCTCACTTGTTTATAGTCCTGTTATCTGTTCGTTTGTGCACTTTATTTTATATTTCACTTTATTTTATATTTCACTTTATTTTATATTTTACATTATTTTATATTTTTCTGTAAATTGTAACGTTTCTACTTTGCACTGTGTTGATTGTTAAATGTTATGCACCTCCCCTCATGTCAAATTCCTTGTATGTTCAACATGCCATGGCAATAAACGGTTCTGATTCTGATTCTGATGTCTTAATCAAAAGCTTGGTTGGTATCGCTCTACTCGTGAAATGAAGTAGCTCAATACCGGACTTATTTTACTCTTAAAAGATGTGATATTGATGGAGAGAGCTATTCAACCCGTCGTTATTTGTGATGAGGAGATGATTCGCTTCATTTTCTCGGAAGAGGTGATGCAGTTATTCTGAGCTGTCTGTGAGTAGGTTATCGTGTCTTTATCTAAATATTTATATGAATGTTGGACATTACATTTGACCCCTCTCTGACCTGGTGTGTGTCCCTCTGGGTCTGTCTCTGAATGAGACCCTGACGGGGAGGTGGACGAATCGCTGCTGGCGGCGCTCCTCCCTCCGCCCCTCCTGGAGCTGTGAAACCGTAAACCGTTGAGCAGCGCTGCTTCCTCATCTGATGAAGACGACGATGATGCCGTTGAACTCTCCTCTGTCTCGGAACTCAAATCCAGGTCCTGTGAGACAACAATTGTTGGTTTGCAGTCATGTGATTTGCTCAAAGACAAACATGTCTTCGACGTCTGCCAAAGCACCAGTTTCATGCCTCACGCTTCATTTCGAGGACTTTTGAACAGATGTGTGGACAAGATGTGTCATTGTGTCTGGAGAAGCAGCACGTAAACCACTCTGAATCCCTTCACATAGAGTTCAAGACACTAACGTCTCTCGTCTTAGTGGGATTTCAGTTTTCTGGAGACATCCAGAAAACTGAAATATTGAGGAAATGTTACGTACCATGGTTTTTATCTCGAATATGAAAACATAAATGCACAAGTGACAATTCTGGTGTAGTGGTTGGTTCACAATTATGTGTTAGCAGAATGTATCATTTCATCTGTAGAGTCAACTTTCTCTTTAACAGCATGTCAGTTGACTTGCCAGGAGAACACAAGCATTTGGATGCAGTAGGGTCAAAAACTCTTGTTCCACTTGACAAAATCCAGATTAAACTTGGACAATGAAAAAATAAAATACAATTAGACAAATACAAAAACAAGGCTTGGGTTCTCCATTTCTCTATCTGACCTTTAGGTTCAAACATATGGTTTGGATTAGTTAACGTCCAATGTATGGATGGGGAGGCAGACACTAATGTATGTGTCTCACCCCCATCTCTGTGTACATGGAAGAGTATAAGAACTGTTTGACTTTTTAGTGAAGTTGAAGAAATCCTGCAGTCTAGCAAGCTGTGTTTTTCCTCCCATGATTCATGTCCAATAAAGAATTCTGAAAAGTTGATCTTCGAGTCCAACCTCATCTGTGACCATGTCTTTTCAAAGAAAATCAACTACCACAACTTCAACAATGTAACCTCTCCACATTCTGTTGATGATGTTCGTTCATTTTTGAAAGTTTTAAACAAACATTCTGTCCAGATTGCACCTTTTTTGAAAATGAAATGTTAATGTACGTGGCTGTGTTATTTCTGTGACTAGGGTTAATTAAACCTATTTTTGATTAACTTTATGATTCTATTTGTCTTTAGACTTTGGTTATAAAAGTGAAATATAACTTTAAAAAACTCCAAAGATTTTTTTTTATTGGCTGAGCAAGCAGAAACACTGAGTGGCAGCAAGATTATTGATCACAACCCACAGATATAAAATGCGCGAATGGGACAGATATGAAATGTCGATTAAATATGCGTCTGACACATTGAAATAACAGCTGTGGCCTGCTGACTCTGTATATCTTATTAGTTTAATCCTGGACTTTTGGCAACCAACGCTTACCATTACCGTTATAGCTCCATCTGATATAATTTGCCATTGGAGAATTTTGAGGTAGTGGAAAACGATAGTCAGCAGTCCCCTTGGATATCTGCATATGATTATGTGCTCGTCTACACTGCCAAACACACATTTCCTCCTGCACATGTATGGTTCAAAGTATATTCGTTATCAGGAAAATAAAGAGTTGATTCTCTAAACTGTTCTTTTTTTGAATTTATGGGATCTGGGAGGATGTCAAGTTATCCCAAGTCAAAAGGTTACAGTCTAAACTCTGAGAAAGCAATGATCCAGCCTTGCCTCAATGTCAACAGCATGGCCACTCAACAGTTATTTGGGTTATTGACATCAGGAATGTGGAGTAATGAAAAGTAGCATCAAACAAGATGGTGTTTTTTTTATATGCAATCATCATCTTTAACTATCTATTCAGTGCAATTCCCAATGAGCACAGAAACAGATGCTATCACTGAAATCAGAGCAGTGGAACTAGCAGACTGTTATACATGTGTAATTTGCTTGTTCCGGGCACCCCGGTGTCTGCAGGGCTCTGAGCAGCTGCTTTGTTCACTCGTGCCTCAGGCCAGCACTGGATATGCTTCTCGAAGCTTGAAGTGTGAAGTTTTTTTTATCACGGCTTGTACACAGTCAAAAGCTGAAATTTGAGTTGCAAATGGATTCCAACCTGTCTGATCTGCTGACAGGTGTTTTTCTCTGTTGGACTCATGTGTCTAGAGATCTCAGCAATTATTAACATAGTGAGTGAAATGTCATCAAGATTTCTTCTGTGTGGAAGTCTTTAATTTTGATAAATAAACCATGAGTTTATGGTCTCAATCTCTAGTTTCAAGTCTTCTTCAATACAGCATGATGTTCATTTAGTCAATTATGGTCCATTTAGTGTAAAATAGACCATAAAGCAGGGGATGGCGGGCTTACTGTGATTGACAGGTCGCTGCGGCTACCAAACCCTTATACGGCATCTCTACGTCACTCATTGCCCGTAATCCAAGATGGTGACGGCGATTTTGCCAAACTCGAGGTTTCAAAGCGGCACTGTTGGTGTCCCAAGCGTGACTAGATTAAACAATGACATTTTGTCACTTCAGTCACTCCCGTCAGTCTTTAGTCAAGTTAATGGCAGCCACGCTCTTTTCCTAACCCTAACTAACAAGGTTTTGTCGCCTAAACCTAATTTCCTGTGAAGAAGGAAGTTTATTTTGGAAAGACACTATGCATGTTACGACTGTATACTGAAACTTCCAAAACTGACGCTAGAGGGTTACCTAGAACGTCATAGTATGAAGCGTATGGGTCACTGACCAAGTGTCTGCATTTGACGAATTGGGAGTGAGAAGGTGTTGTTTCTACAGGATTTTCTACCGTCGAAGACGTGTAGCTTTCTCTCAGACCACTTCCATGACAACATGCTCAATGAGTTATTTTGTGTTAATATGCGAGGCAGCTGATTGGATCCGCTGATAGTTGACTTTGCTCTCACAATAAGTGTTGGTAGGGGACCGTCCTCAGTAGACAATCAACAGCATTGTCTTTGTTTTGGGAATTTAAACAACCTATGTTTACATGTTGCCATCAAGCGAGTTGGAACATTTTAAAAGGCAGCAGCTCTTCATGTAATCCCCCTGAGACTTATTTTACATAACAAACGTACTTATCTTTTCCTACGTTCTCTGCTTCGCTGAGGCCATGCTGTCTTTCAACCAGTACTATTCATTATCTGTGCTTTGGGTTCCAGCCAGGGGCACAATCATGTTTTGCACACAGCGGAGGCAAATTTAGCTGTCAGACAAATGAACTATGGCACAACACAATGCATTGTGATACATAGCTAAGCTGTCTTCACTGTGAGAGACATAGTATACATGACATCACATGGTGTATTTGATGTAGGAAACAAGCCTCTTGCTGTAATAATCAGTCATTGTATTTTTTTAGTAATGCAGAGAGCATCTGGGGATACATTTTTTTTTTTTTACTTTTTTTATCCTCTTTATATATTCTGACAAATTAGCATGAATGTGCTTCCTATTAGTCAGATATTAACACATTTATCATGAGTCAAGTCAGATGGTATCCTGTGCTTTATGACATGAAACATTATCATGGACCGAGGCACTCGTTCATTATCTCCCATCTGTCTCTGACACAATCTATTTCTGTCTTTCTTTTACACGCACGCACATACACACACACACACCTACACCCACACACATTTGATTCAACATTTAGTGGGATCAAGAAGGCCTACATTTCAGTTATTATCCCCGCTGGAGATTATGTGCCCATGTGTGCTTGAGTGTGCATGCATCGCTGTGTCCGTCTGTCTGTCCGCGGCTAATCTAGCGCACCCATCAACCTAATATTTGTTTGTGCTCACGTATATATATCACTCGCTTAGCAAATGACAAACTGAACTGAGCGCTGACTACAAAGGAGCACATCGGTAACTGAATTTAACACAGTGATACACTTGCGGTGAGACCGTGGGGGGGGGTCATATGTGGTTTGTGTTCATTTAATCAAACATTTACCGACAACAATACAATACAGGCGTATAAAACAAAGCTAAAATTAAAATCATAGCGGCACAGGTCACACCGGGCCTTTCACAATCCCTTCACAACTGTGTGATTTTCTACACTGAGCCTGTACTTGATGCAATTGAATGTTTATCTCACAAGGACAACAGAAACCCTCTCTCCTGTTTCCATAAAATTAGTCACGACTACCTCTGCTAATAACCATTGAAGTCAGGATGATCATGACCATGTTTGAAATTAGCACACACAAACACACACACTGTGTCAGTCATTTCCTGTCTCTCTCTCTAATCAGTCATGTCCTCCTGCAGTAACAGCCATGTAGGTCATGATGGTAATCTGCATACAGAGCACTCTGTATGCATCCTCCCTCTCCTCGTAGGCCTTATTTCTTACACAGTTTCTTATCTTACTGTGACGCTCCCAAACTACACATCAAATCAACAAAAAAAGTTCATCAGTGTCTTCCAGAAACCATCTGTTCAAAGTCTTTTCTGATCCGTAAACTCAATGTTTAAAAGTCTGCTTAATTTTGGTAAATCAAATTCCTTGCTTAAGGTTAAAGAGCCATTGTCGACACGATTAAAAGAAAAATTTCAGGCCTTTTTTTTCCCGTCGCGATGCTATTTGATGTTGATTTTCTTTGATAATTTCCTTTACAACATTTATAGCTTGTTTCCCATGGTGGAAATCAAATGGAGGCTCCACGTGCTATATATATTAAGCTATTCACATTTTACAACCTCTACTTACAGCCTCTCCTGTGTACTGTGTTCAGCAGCCTGCAGTTCAGTCGAAGTTTCACTGTTTTTTTCACAAATCAATCATGGCTTCCTAGTTGCGCTAAGGAGCTAACAATTTAATGCTTTTCACAGGATCTGGTTCAAGTAAATTTAAAGTTTTTTGGAGCGGAATTTTAAATGAGACATATCACAATTTTAAGCTTATTTTTGCTTGCTTTTTTCTGATGGAAGAGTTCGTTGCACATAATGTGTTCAGGGACCGTCAGAAAAATACAGATGATGGCAATTTTTACAGCTTCTGGCTGTGATAAACAGTGTAGATTTAGCGATTGTTTAAAAGAAAACATGCTTTTCCATCCCGTCAGGGATTTGGACAATTCATTAATTTCATATAAAAAAAAATAAAAAAAGTAATATGCTC